CTGGCTGGGGAATTCTGGGAGTTGAAGTCCACACGTCTTAAAATGGCCAAGGTTGAGAAACGTTGGTTCAGAAGACCGCCAACTTGATCAAAGTGGATGCTCTGGCATCAGGCAACCCAGAAGGAAGATGATTCATTCACAAGTTCAGTACCCTGGAAGTGTTTGGCTTCTGAACGGTCCTGATTAGGTGCTTTCCATTCAGAAGGCTTAAGGGTGAGTCCCTGATCCCACTAACCCTTCTGGTCAGACTAGCAAATCCCCCTTCACCTCTTTTCCTCTTCCTCGTAGAATGGTGGGACGGACAGCTTCAGCCCAAACATAGCTCCAAGGAATGGGATTCCCTCTGGCCCAGCAAGAGGAAGAAACCGCCGTTGGTGTCTGATATCCTTTTGTGTACCTTTCCACCCAGAAGCGATATCGCTTTCCTACTCCTGGGGAGTCGCCGGAGGCGGCTTTCCTGGCCGCTGCTGCAAAACGAACCGTCTGAACAGCCCCCGACAGGGTGGTGGGGGGTCCGAAGTGCCTGATCTCACAGTTCTTCTTTAACTGGCCCTCCCCACGCCCGTACATCGTTTACATGTTGCGCGATATCGACATCATGGAAGACTGGACAGCTATCAAAAAGGTCAGGGGGCTGCCAAAGGGGATGGTGGAGGAGGACCGATCTGACATGTGAGATTAGACCCACAGGCTTTGTCTTAATCCCCAAGGGAATGGGGGCCCAAGACCTCTGCTTTCAGATGGTGCTAGTGATACTGAACTAGCAGAATCAAAAACTTGATTTGGTAGAGGGCAAGTCCTTGACTTATGACCACAATTGGGACTGGAATTTCTGTCACTAAGCGATGCAATCATGAAGTGAGTCACGCCTGATTTTACAACCTTATTTTGCTGCAGTCCTTAAGTGAATCTGGCTTCCCCCATTGACTTTGCTTGTTGGAAGCCCCCTAGGAAGGTTGCAAATGGCAATCACGTGACCCTGGGATGCTGCAACCATTGTAAATACATGCTGGTTGCCAAGTGCCTGAATTTTGATCACATGACCACGGGGACACTGTGACAGTCATATGTGCAAGGACTGATCACAAGTCACTTTTTTCAGTGCCGTCATAGCTTCGAACGGTCGTTAAACAAATGGTTGTAAGTCGAGGACTACCTGTGTTTGATCTGTTACCGTGTTCTGCTCTTAATGTGTTTTCTTCCTATGGTGGGATGAGTCTCTGCCATAGAGGCAAGATGGCTGGAGGTTACAGAGCAGGCCAACAGCTGGGGGATGAGCACTTTTTCTCTCACTGCTGCTTTATTCTTCCTTCACAGGCAAAAGCCGCTGTATCCCCTCCAAAGAGAAAGCTCGAAGGCAAGTAACTTGGTTTCTCACCCTTCTTTGCAGAATTTGGATTTCCCCCTAAATTTCCCTAAAATTCTGGGTTGGAACTGAGTGCCTGAAGGGGCTGGGGCTGGGGCTGGGGCCGTTCGAAAGCAAGCAGCCCCCACCTAGCTGTACCCTTGAAGCAGGGATGGAGAAACAGCATATCCTGCTGATGCTGAACTACGAGTCCCAGAACCCCTTGCCAAAGCTGGTCACACTGGCTAAAGCAGCTGGGAATAGTAGTGTCCATGCCTCAAAAATGCCAGGCTAAGCCAGGAATATTTTTTCACCACAGTTGTGCTAGCCAAAAGGCCAGTTTTATGGCTAATGCTAAGCTATAATGGTTGGGTTTGTGCGTCACTCTAAGCCAGGGTTTCTCAACCTTGGCAACTTTAAGACCTGTGGACTTCAACTCCCAGAATTCCCCA